TTCATTACCATCACCATTATTTCATAATCATTTCTCTACAATTAAAAACCCCATCTCTCCCTTCATTCGTCTTTCCACTTTGTAACTCCCAAGAAGCACTCTCACTCTCTCTTCCTCTCCCCTTCATTCGACCAGACCAGCAGCAAGGAGGACCTCCGGCGAAGCTCCGGCGGGTGCAAGGTTGAAGGAGAAGAAGGGCTAGGCCGTTCGTGTGAAGCGTAGTCGTTGTTTGTCCGTTCGTTAGCACCATTCGTTCATCTCGTCCCATGAACCCCTTCTTTTAGAGGTGAGTAGTTGTCCCTCTAATTCTAGAACATTTAGTTATAATCTATGTCGTTATATTCATAGGAATATCGTACGCAACCTACGTTGAATCTATGCATGTTCGTATCCAACTTATGTGAGCCCATGTTATTAAGTTATGTACTCGTTAACATAAATGTTTTGGAACCTCGTAAATTCATCGACTACTTAGCGTGGAAATGAAAACATTCGATTTTAAAAAAAACTTCCAATGTTTGATGGCTACAAACAAATAAAATGGAAATCAGCGTGCCTTGATAATCGAGTTACAGGATAGTATAATCGATTATCAGGCCACGCCGGACTCCTCAGTTGGTTCAGCACAGCGTGTTAATCGATTATCCCATATGTGATAATCGACTATCAGGCTCTGCGGATTCTTGGGTCTGAGTTGGCTTCACTGATAATTAATTATCACACAGACAAATCGATTATCAGGTTTCTCTGAACTTAGGACTTTCCAGATAAACCAACTTGACAATCGATTGTCATAGGGTGACAATCGATTATCACAGTCTGCAGCACTTTGGGGACAGAAGCTGCATAGCATGATAATCGATTATCAACAGCAGATAATCGATTATCAGCCAGTTCCGAACCCAGGGCCATCATGTTGAACAAATCATAATCAAAACATATGTATGAATTGAATTTAACTCTCTTCTTTAATCAATGTATTCATTCCATCATGTTCGTTCTAGACGGATGTTCTAGGTTTTCATCATGTGCATACCGCTGTAGGGAGGACTTCATGCGCCTACTACAGTGGGCCCGTCCAGGAACCTTTGGGGACCAACGGGTTTTCATCATGTTGGGCTTGTGTACGTACATAGTAGTCAGGTTACGGCTACTACCCGGTTTTGCTAGTCCACTCGCGATGTTTTCGTCGTGCCCAGCTCGTTATCGTTCGGGGACGATGACCGGAGTGCAGGGGTGATCCTGTCGAGTGAGACTAAGCCAGGGGTGTCCCTGATAGTTTAAGTCATGCATCAAGTCATATCATCATCGTTAAGTTCCTCGTTATTCGAAATAGCTTTAACATGTGAAAACTAAACAGTTAGTAACGCGTGGTGTCCCGTACGTTAAGTACAGGTATTGTTATGGGTATAGCCATATGGGTTATCACTTCATGTTCTTTTGTTAGATTCACTCCTCAGCTTTTGCTGAGCGTGTAGTTGTTTTTGCTACACGCAGGTAGACATGACGGAGCAGGTGACAACCCTGGAGAGCGGTGACGATGGGGAGATGGGCGGCGCACGGACGAACTCTTAATTACTTTCAATAACTTCATTAATCGATTGGGCATGAACCCACCCTTGTCGTTATTTAATTTGGACTAAACTTATTTAATTACTTCCGCAATTACTCTGCACTTTTATTACACACGTTTTGGGAGTAACTCCCTGGCACTTATTTCTCTAATTAAAACCCAACCGTTTTCTTATTAAATAATCATTAATGTTTTCGTAACGGATGGTTCTCGGACTTTCCATGTAACCCTACCGGTCCGTTGGGTCGCGGGTGAACCGGGTCCACGGAAGGCGGGTGTTACAATTTGGTATCAGAGAAGTTTCGGTTTTTGGGAAAAAAAAACATATCTTGTCGTCTTGTTCAAAAGGTATTTTCAAAAAGTCCACAGCCGCATCTCCTATTGCATCACTCCTAGGGAAAGGTACACCGTTATTTAGATCACATGTATGTCATATTACAATTAGTTCTGATTTAAGT